TTTCTGTCCTTTTGGGGAATAGCTGTAAGTAAAAAAAAAATGATGCTTCTGTTAATTATGCTTACACATAGCATGAGTATTTATTAATCCCATAACAGATTAGGGAGTAGAGACATGGACAAATTTGTTGGTACCTTTCCCGAAAACAAAGAAGAAACCACCATTTTCTGTGAAATAACTTGAAACTTAAAAAAATAATTGCCTTTTATCATTGTTTATTCCATTATTTAATCAAATCAGATTTTGAATTTTGATTTTTCATTCAAAATAATAATTTAAATAACAATACAAATTAAATTGGCATTGACAAAAATATAGGACCCTTAACCTACTATTTTGTTGTGTAACCTTTAGGCCCCATTCACACTGAGCGATTTATCGCGCGATTTTTGCAGCGATATCGCTCATATTTCCACGCGATATCGCTCTATGTAGCTTCTCCAATCCATTTCAATGGAGCTGTTCACATCTCGCCGCTCAATATCGCTTGTAGCTCGTCGCTGTAGCTTGTTGCTCCTACATGACCCTTTTTTCTGCGGATTTCGAGCGATTTTGCTCCTGATTGCATAAAGCCCAATAGGAAAAAGTCGCGCAATGTAGCGTGACAAGTCGCGCAATATCGCACATATAAAATCGCGCGATTTTCATGTCGCTCAGTGTGAATGGGGCCTAAGAGACAATAACTGCAGACACATGATTTCTGTAGCTCTCATTAATACTTCTGCACCTGCCAACAGGTAGTTTGGCCCACACTTTTTGAACAAATTTCTCCAGCTGTCTTAAGGTGCCCATACACCTTGCAATCATCGGACGAAAATTTTCGTCCGATGATCAAACCACCGTACAATTTTCGTACAGCCTCCCCATCCTGCCCCGACCATCGCACAGTTCAATTAGCGGTTCTTTAGCAGAAATCACCTGGATGAATTTCGTCAATCGACCGCACAGATTTTGGTTTGAGCATGAGCAGTGTTAATCGTACGATTTTTGACGTATGGAAATGCCACCAACCTTGCGAAAATCGTACGATCGACCAAAGTTTTTTAGCATGCTGGAAAGACAAGCGCCGTACGATTGTACAGTATTTGCGGTTGTACAATGCCCATCAACCTTACGAATATCAGACGAAAACGCAATCGCAAACGAAAATCACCCGATATTCCTAAGGTGTATAGGCACCTTAGGAATATTGAAGAGTGACATCGCCAGACTGCATTCCACAGATGTTTGATAGGATTTTAGATTGCAGCTTATAGAAGGCGATCATCGGAACACCAGGCAAGAGTAAATCTTCCAGTGAAGATCCCTGTTCTGTTGACAGCTCCCCTCATTTTGTAGAGATATGCTTTCTACATACACTTTAAAGGTGGGAAGAACTCAATTTATAGACAGGAACACATGATAATACAATAAGCAAAGTAATAGCACTGCATAGTTCCTATTGTAATGG